GTGACCTGTGAACAAACATCCAATACTAAAGAAAATACTCATAGGAAGGAATACTGTATGTGTCTGCATGTTAGGGTGAAATTGAACAAGCATGTATGAGAGCCTATGGTTAAAAATACGATTTTTAAAACATCAAAATTAGTTTCCAGATATTTGCATAACCTTTTAATAGCCTTTTTCATTATGTACATACTTTTGATGAATACTGTTCTGATCTTCATATATATTGAACCTTCAGCTCATACAAGGTTTGTTAGAGCTTACCAGTACTCCATGTCAAAGATGACAGGCAAGTTCCTTTCTACAATTCCAGGAAATTCTGATTTAGGACTCAGGCTGAAGTTTCAGTAGTCAAAAAATGTGCGTCAAATGCAAATGCCAAATACACAAAGATCAGACTTGCTAGCACACCAAACAACCCACACATAAGAACACAGTGCTGTACTTCATAGCCAGGAAGATGAGTCACTGATTACCCATGAACCTTTAGGTATCTAAGATATTGTGATCAAGACAGCATAGAGATTTCTTCCAATTAATGATCCAGAAACTGATATTAAAAAGGATCCCAATAATTTTCATATGGTTCCCTTTCTATTACATCATGTCAGTTATGGATAAATGCCTATTTATCTCAGTGCATGTAGGAGATAACTTGTACTGGGATATCTAAACAAAGAAATTTTCTGCTTTTAGAACAGATTGTGTCATTCCATAGAATATTTATAAAATTAAAAGTATTTTGAGACTAATATTTTAATAGAATGTGAATACTAATTGATCGTGGCTGATCGTGGCAGAAATACTTGGAGAAAAATAAAGAACCAGGGAGCAAGGAATTATTTCACTGTACATATGGGCTGCAAATGTGCTGCTCAGCCTTACCTTTTGCTCTCACCTGGTTGCAGTCTCTGTGTGGTGTGATTTACATGTGAAATGTGTCGCTCTACAAACAGAGCCTTTTTTGTGATCTTTCCCATATTATCACCTTCCATTCAGCCAGATGGGGATCAAATTGACTCTGCACAACTGCATTTGTCATATATAGCTACAGCTGGACAGATGATTCTCATGCAGTGGGGACTATGTGTGAATGGGTTGGTGGGGGCACTGAAAACTTTAACTGTAAGCTTATAAATTCCACAGAACTACTCACATATACTGAATGGAAAGTATAATGGGGAAATCAACTAGTTGTTAGAGATAGTATGATAAATCTTGTTCCTGAAAATTTGTTGGCAATGGCAAAGACTGCTTTGTTGGTTCTCCCTGTAGACCAAATTGATCTTCATGTTCAGATACTGCTATTGACTCTTGCCTATATTTATGATTTGCTTAGCAGCAGCTACATTTCAAGAACTGATTACTGTGTTTGATTTCTAGTGAGAACCAGTACAGTGGAGTGGTTACCATGTTGGACTAGGAAGATGTGGATTCAATCCTTCCTCACAAGGTTGCTACTGCAGAGATAAAATGAGGGGAGACACCATCCATGGCATGTGAAAGTTCAAGAGGAAAGGAAGGATATAAGTGTAATGTCATTAAATGCATACATACTTATTTCCATAGAACTGTATCTGCCAGAAGAGCATGGTGCCTAATGTTCTGATAACTAATGGTGTCGACAGGAAGTCTGCTCCTTTTGGGCATGGATGTGGCATTGCCCTGTATGTAGAAAAGGGGCATGATTTACATCATGCGGCAATGCTGCTGATGTCAGTCTGACCCTCTTTGCCTCCTCCTGCAGATGCCACTCTTACTAACATTGGTTTAGATCTAGAAACATTTTTATTTTTAAAAGCATGTATTTCTGTACAGTCGTGTGAAAAGGAAAATACACTCTCTTTGAGTTCTATGGCTTTACGTATCAGGACATAATAAAAATCATCTGGTCCTTAGCAGTTCTCAAAAGTAGGTAAATGCAACCTCAGATGAACAACAACACATGACATATTACACCATGTCATCATTTATTTTACAAAAAGAGCCAAGATGGAGAAGCCTGTGAAAAATTAAGTACTCCCTTACTGCTTCCATAGGTATGAAGAGGTTAGCAGCAGCCAGGTGCTGCTAATCAAATGATAGAGGTCATCACACTTGCTGATG